GTACAGTGAGTAGAATGTAAAAGGAGGGAAAATGTAAAATGAATGTAAACATGCGCGACGTCATCCAAAGGCCAACCAGGAGGCAGGACTACACAGTACTGACTACTACACACACGCGCGTGTGGCCACGAGGCATGACATGAGCCTTCCCTTCCTTTAAAAGGACACACCGCTCACTCTCTCTCTCTTGCCTCTCCTCATTTCTCTCTCCCTCGTCTCTCCCGTCTCTTCCAGTTCAAGGCGTGGTATATGCCTTTCATTACTTTTCTCTCTTTCTCTCTCTCTCTCCTCATTTCTCTCTAAAAACCGGTAAAAGAACAAGTCCTCAAGCACACCATCAATTGCACTGTCTGCCCATGTTTCCTTCTCCTCCACATTCTCTCGCAGTTAACAGATAGAATTAGACAGAGAGAGAGAGAGAGAGAGAAAAAAAAAAAACAAAACAAACAACTGATACTCTGCTCAAGAAATGTCTACTCTCTCCGTCTCTGTTCTTTCACATGCCCTCGTTTGATTAATCTCTCTTGCAGCTTTTGACCCTTCCGCAGCAGACAGCCAGACACTAAAGCGAGATTAGCCCCAAGGCTTCTCCTGTTTGTTTYCCCGTCCTCTCTCTCCCTATTTTTCTCGTTTCTTTTTTATTATCTTTTCTCTCTATAAATCTTCTGAGGATGGATAGGTGGCATAAGTCGCTAAGAGAAGACAGATTTTGTCAAGAAAGGAAAATCCCATCTTTTTCTTCCACTCTCCTTGACGCGATTTACCGTTCCATAGACGAAGACGAAGGGGGAGAAGAAGAACTGGTTTTCAATAGAGAAGCCATGAGGAAGAAACAGAGCATCGCAACAGACAGCAACGTTAGAGGAAGCAGTTTCTTACAAGAAGATAGGGCGAGTCTTCGACGAGCCTGTATGATCGAGAAATGGATGGAGAAGAAGGTGACCGAGAAGGTCGTTTTCAGGCGGAAGTCTACCCCGGATTTGGACCCGAAGCTACCGAATGATCGAAAGTCTGTGCTCCTCAATTCGACTTCATGCTCTTCCGATTCTAGCTCCGCAGGTGGGTTTTCTTCCTCGGAAGCGGAGTCTGTCTACGGAGCAAGATCGAGGTCATCGGGTTTCACGGCGCAGAGGCCGAAACCGGTTCGAACTTGTATTCCGGCTTGGTCGGAGAAACCTCTGCAGTACTACGGTCATCAAGAGCAGAGAAAATTGCATGCTTTTGATGAAGCTAATCTTCGTCATCACCAAGAGAGAGATTCTCTTCCACAGCAAAAGCCTTCAAAGAACGAAGGTGGTCGTTTCATCAGGACCAAATCGAGAGCATTAAAGATCTACGGTGATCTAAAGAAGGTGAAGCAACCAATCTCGCCGGGGGGACGGCTTGCCGCGTTTCTCAATTCTCTGTTCACCGCAGGCAATGCGAAGAAGGCAAAAATCTCATCTTCGGCTTGTGGTGGTGGTATGGAAGATACGTGTTCGGAGAGGATTTCGAAATCGGCACAGGCGTCGACATGTTCGTCGGCGTCGTCATTCTCGAGATCGTGTTTAAGCAAAACCCCATCTTCGGGTGGGAAATTGAGCAATGGCATGAAGAGGTCGGTTCGATTCTACCCAGTTAGCGTGATCGTGGACGAGGACTGTCGGCCATGTGGGCACAAATGTCTCTACGAAGACGATCCGGGCCTGATCGTGAGACAAATGGCGGAGCCCCGTTTGATGAATGAGGATCTCAAATTCCACTTGATGGAGAAGAACAGGCGAGTCGAACAAGCAGCACGAGATATTCTCAGTAGCTACCAGCAGAAGAAGAGCGGTTTCGACATTAGAGACGCTGAAATCGATGTTTGTGACGAAGAAGACGATGAGGGAGATGACGCGGCGAGCTATTCAAGTTCTGATCTTTTCGAGCTCGATAACTTAGCAGTAATTGGTATAGATAGGTATAGAGAAGAGCTGCCAGTGTATGAAACAACCCATCTCGGTACCAATCGCGCCATCGCTAGTGGCTTGATTCTGTAGTTGTTCAACAGTATGTATTATAAGAAAGATGAAAGAAATATTGTCATCCTTTATGAATTTTAATGGWTTGGGGGTTTATTTTACACCATCAGAGAATAATTAAGTGCTTACTTTTCTTTGGTTTTTGTATGAGCCTTTCTTCTGTTTTGGGTTATTCTTTAATTTAATTAGCGTATAATCAACGTTAATAAAACAGAAACAGGGGCCAAGGGCCTCCTTGGTTCTTTCCTTGAAAGAAGGAAGGATACAGTAGTCAATATGTTGATGAGAAGCGAGAGAAGGGGGACGCTGGGTGCTGCTTATAAGAAAAGAAAAGCAGAGTAGTAGCAGAGCAGAGCAGAGAAGAGCAGAATGGAAGAGAAAACTAGAAAAGTGAAGAGGAAGCAATATAGATTCAAGATGCTGTTCACACGCAAAATGGGGAAAAGGTTTGGGCGGAAGAAGACGAATTAAGGCAGGACAGATCTCTATCTCGATAGCGAGTAATGAAGCTTTTGCTTTCTCTGCGGCTGCGGGACCCTCACCCAACTTCCTTCGCTGTCTGTAGCCACGGAGTTGGGATGGCATTGGCGTCAGAGAGAGAGAGAGAGAAATGAATAGTATCTTACAGTTACACACATTCCTTATTTTATTCAAGGAGATCATGTAGGATTAAGCCTGTTTCTCATTCGTCTTATTTCGTCGGTCAAAAAGAAATTCCTGGGTATCTCATTCAAGCTTTTATATACCATTGTTCTTCTTTACTTTCAAAAGAATTACGAATATATACACAGATTTTGGGTGTCGATTTGCCGGGAATTATGTATCATTCTACCGGCGGCCATCATTCAATTAATTCCCCTCCCCCCATTCCCAGAAGTTTCTCTCGCCTGCGGTTGGGATGAGGGGGTTAATGTAGGTGGATGGTCTCAAATGTAGTAGACAAAAGACCATTGAACTATGCATTGATTCATTGAGACGAATGTTCTGACGTCCTTGGTTCCAAGTTGGAATCTCGGATTTTGAGCTTTTTAAGCTCAACGAACGTGGGCAACCCCTGACTTCACTTTTCCTCAAGTCATAAGATCTTAATACACTTGCGTATTAACCAAAGGTTTCAGAAACCGAGATGGTCTTCGGCTGGTTCCTCCTGGTTGTGACGGAGAGGAGACTGTAGGGATCGAAATCGAATCCATCCCCATCATGCCTTCATCTACGCATAATGGGCAATTGATGGTGATTTTTTTTTTGTCCACAAAACTCGCTATTTTCACCTTTGCAGGTGGTGGCGACTCTGGATGAGCTACTACAAGCTACAAATAAAGGAGTGTGTAACGGGCTACAGATCCACAACTAGGGATGAGCAAAAAAAGCTGAACAACTGAATCAATTGAAAAATTCGATTGAAACAGAATTAAAAAATCGGTTGATTCAGTTTTGGTTCGATGTTTTTAAAAAATCAAAGGTATCGGTTTGATTTTGGTTAATCAATATAGAAAATTGGCGATTAACTGAATCGACCGATATATATATATTTCTATATATTTATGTATATTATATATATTTTATATATTATAAATTAATAAATATGTATTATATATATATATATATTTATAATACATATTATAAAAATAAAAAAATCAAAAAATTGATGATTAATCAAACCCATCAACGATTAACCSACTAATTTCAATTCGATTTTGATTAACAATTTTCCAAAAATCAATAATACCGATTCGATTAAAAAAAAAAACCACGATTCCATTAAACGAACCGTGAGCACCCCCCACAACAATCAAATAAAGGCGTGAATACACAAGTATTGTTCCGTATACATGGGTCCGGTGATCAGTTCAACGCACCTTTATTCATCCCGTTCAGTAACACCTGGGCCCAAGTAAAGTAGATAACTAGATATAGCACTGATGACTGAACAGAGCGGAATGGTGAACGGGATTCAATCCCCTTGTAGATATGGCACTGATGACTGAACAGGGCTTAATTCAACTGAGGTGTTGGTGTTGCATTTGAGGTATTGATTGCTTACTACTTACCATGCATCCATATCTTCTAGCTGATTAATTTCTAGCATTTTTTTTTTTTGTTTTTTGTCATTAGTGTAGAGTGGTTTTCACCATTATTAAGTGGCCAAAACCCACACGAGTCTAATTGTCTTGTAATTACGCAGGATTTAGTGATCCTACTACTCCACCTAAATTTGTTAGACAGAGACACTTGTCTTAATCTAATTGTTGCGGGCATACACCTCTTACATTTTGAGACCATCTAGTCTGATGTATCTCACCCATTTACATGTAGATATTAGTTTTTTAGGCCTTTCATCTTATCTCATCTCTTTGAATTCACCAAACGTGCCGTTCTTGCAAATAAGCGTGGACTTCCCACTAATTGGATGGCAATTTTCCCATAAAATTGGTCTCCATCCGTCCCATTCTGAATGTGGCAGGTTTTCTCTATCTTAAATGGAGATGAGGATTTTTTTTTTTTTTCTTTTGCCCTGAATAGGAGATGGGGTCTGCATATAATTTTTTGGACCTATTTTAAATCAGGTGCTAAATTATTAAAATACCCTTAGATTTAATATTAATTTTTAAAATATTCTTAAAAATATAAAGTGACTTAGGCTGCATTTGGTATTCCTTATTTTAAGAACTTACTCCTTTTTGCAGCTAAAATGTGTCTATGAACACTGAGTTTTTAATTGCAAAGAGGAAATAAGTCCTTAAAATATGGAATGCCAAATCTAGCCTTAGGGTTCCCATAATCTCATTTCCCCTAAATTCCTAAAACCTTAGGATCCCATAATCTTATTAATAAAATACCTTAAATTTCGTATAATCTCATTTCTAAAATACCCTCCAAGTGTGATGTATTTTTAGGTGATTGTCTCAAAGCAGGGAAAAATCGGAGATTTCCCATCCTGGATGGGGGCATTGATGGAGATAGCAAAGGGCAAAGTAGGAGATTTTGGCTATTGGGCGCAGACGGGGAGGGGGTCCATGTGCTCCATTGCCATTCCTATTCACTAACATCTCTTTTGTTTACTTAAATTTGATTAAGCCCATGAACAGAACCATTTAGTCCTCTTATTAATCAATGTACCAACTCCCCAACTAGAAATGATAATTCAAATAAATTAGATTTACGGGGACCACCTCAATCATAAAATTGAGATATGCTTACTGATTTGATCTAGAAATCTCTTTTAACTGATTAATGATGTTTACTTTAAAGTTATAAATCTATCCCGAATTAATATACATACACATCAGGAGTTCAGGACCATGTGTTCAGCTTGACCTCTAAACCAAGAAAAGCCAAAGCTATGGTCTTTCACTCTCAGTATCATAAACCCACAATTTTGACAAGGGGTTTCAAGTTCAAGCCATCATTTTTCTAATCTCATTAATAAATGAGATGAAAGATTCTCACACTCAACGATCAACAAATGCATGGTAGGATGAATATTTCTCCCATGGATCCAAATCATTCATTTATGATCTTTTGGAGCGGTGGAGATAAATTAAAATTATTTGAGAATTTAGTAGATTAATCAACCAAATTATTAGAAATATCCAAATTAATCAAGAGTTGTCCATTGAGTGTTGGAATGGTAGGAGAATTAAATTGAGATGATGGGAATTGATGCTTCTTCATTTTCTTAATAGATATTTAGATATGGGGATCGATCGGAAGTTGTCAAGGTGAAGCAAGGGTCATAGGTTAAAAATAAATAACCCCTAAACAGCCTAGGAGTTGACCCCCAATAATTCCCATGTCAATCATAGCCATAGCCATCGGTTCTACCTATCTAACTTGTTTTATATTCCTTCTCGTTATATTCTTAATTAATATAATAAAAAGGAATTTGGAGATGTGATGAGCTTATCTTTCTTTAGTTTTAATGAATTCAATTCAAATTGATCGTGGTCCGAGAGGGGTGTGCGTCAATGCTTAATTATAAAAGGACTGCACATCATCAGCAAAAAAATATATCTCAACTTACGAAGGTGACATGCATGTTCCCCGACAACTTTGAACCATACAAACTAGTTGTTTAGGGAGGTTGCCAAGAAGCCAAGGATACACTTGATGGCCGGTTCAACCAGTAAACCCAATATCTGTAGACTTGGAGAGGAAGGTTTTGGGAGATTGGTATGGGCCGTTTGATTATGATATCAAAAATAATTTATAACCAATCAATCAGTATCATAAAAGTGACAATCAATCAAGTGGTATTTTATAGCCGAATCAAAATATTTCCACCATGGATTATTTGAGAACTGATATGACTCTTAATTAATTGATTTTCATGGCACCACCTGCAATCATGTAGCCAGTGACCCGGTTGTTGAGGAACCTTGATTCGTTTGCTCGTTATGCTGTGTATCAACTGTGGCATACATGATCAATCTAATAGGCATAATATAGTAATGAGCACTTGATAAATATTATAACAACAGGCTGGGGATATATTAAACATGTTTACAACTTTGTGACTACCCGATCCATAGTATTCCCTCGTGATTGGTTATATAGTAGGTGACACATGTACAGCATGACAATCAGCAAATCCCGAATGATCAATACGAAGGATGTGCCTTACGACCAACTTAGACATCAAGTGGTTGGCATATATTGTGACCATACATGCATGCATGTATTGTCATAATGCATGATGAGTTAAAAGGCCGACCACGCACTAAGAGGGTATTTGACAACAGGGTCGCTTTTGTTTTTGTAAACAAGAAGAATTGCTTTATTTTCAGAAAACAAAACCAACATATTGTCCGGCCGTTGCAGGACAACCTTCTCAAGTGAAGCTGAATTCTGGGCCATCATCGATCCGGGGTCTTTTACTCTTATTTAGATTTACTTTCAGCTGTTCTTTTTTCTGATGCAAATTAAAACTAGCTCTTCTTGAAGGCATTCGATGAACCAACAGAAATATTAAATCGAAAGAACAACGTTCACCCAATTTCCTTTTGGGATGGTAGTTTTTCCCATTTCCGACGGGGATCCAATTTCCTTCACCCAATGGGGTTGGGATAGGGATTGTTTTGGTGGGACGGGGATTAATAGAAATTCTTGATCAGGGTCAGGGTTGGGGTCGGGGATGGAGATTGAGGTCATCGCCCCGCCCCAACCCCAACCCCAATTATATATAAATATATTATTATATTATATATTATATATTATATATATATATATATATATATATCAAAATATTATTTATAATTTAAAATTTTTATTTATTTTAAGTAAATTTATTTAAAAAATACTATTATCTGTAATTTAGTAGAGAATTTCTCTCCTAAATTATCTCTAATTCTTATTTATCTTCTCCCCCACTTTTTATCTATATCTATCTAAAAAAAGTTTGAATTAAAAAGTTTAAGAATTATTTAAATATTCTAACAACATTATATAATAACTTTAAAATATTTATTAAAAAGACAAAAAATAATTATAATCGATTTAATAATATTCATATTATTAATAATTATATATTTTTACAAAGTTCATCACGAAATTATGTATAAACAATATAAATTATGATTTTCTGGACCATTCAATCTAAATGTTATTCAAATAATAAAAATCTAACATTAAAAATGAAGTATTATTTAAATATTTCAATAACTTGTAGGTTGTGTGGCTAACCGAATTGGTTTGGGTCAATTTTTGGTTTGGTCAGTCGGTACAAAAG